CCAGTCTCAAACCAGCACTGCTTCTCATCCAAACATCAAAATAAATCAAATTATCAAACAATCTAAAAATACATATCTGGAACATTGGGATCAAGAAACTAAAACACAAAGTAAATTACAATTCTATCGAACCCTAAAATCAAATTATGAATTGGAAGATTATCTCCAGAGTGTCAGAGACACAAAGCAGAGACGGATCCTGACCAATTACAGGCTCATTGAGCACAGTCTAGCCATCGAGACCGGCAGACACAGAAAGAGCTGGTTCCCCAGAGAGCAAAGAGTGTGTGCTCACTGTGAGACAGGAGAGATCGAGACAGAGACGCACTTCCTCCTTCACTGTCATAAATACATACCCGTAAGAAACCTCTACATCAACAAATTCACCAACTTAATAAAGAACTTTACAGCCATTAGTGAAACAGAACAAATAAAGATAGTATTAGGAGAGGGACAGACAGCAGCACTGGCTGCGAGATACTGTGTGCCACAGCCTGAGAGACAACAGGTGAATGTGTATATATGTGTGTGTGTGTGTGTGTGTGTGTGCGCGCGTGCGTGCGTGCGCTCGTGCGTGAGAGAGAGAGACAGCAGGTGAATGTGTGTTGTGTCTGACCTCAGTTACATTCTCCTTTCACATACATATATTTTTGCTTTCACACACTTACATTCTCCATTCACATACAAACATTTCTACTCTCCCTCTCACACACACATACATTCTCCTTACACATACATATATTTCTGCTTTCACACACGTACATTCTCCTTTTACATACATTTCTACCTTTTTATGGTATCCATTACTTCCTGTTTAAGCAGGAAGTCACTCTCAGACCAGGAAATATTCAAAGTCATCCTGTTTTCTTTTCAAGTACATTGTGACGAGAGGGGCGGGGCCGAGAGCCGTGGGAACGGAGCAAGGCCGGTGGAGAAAATGCTAATGCACGACACCTGCACCACTCACCGGTCTCGAGTCCCACGGAGGAGCTCCGGAAGGATAAAAGGAGGAGTGACGACAGTGTTGGACGAGAGAGGACCAGGCCTGGACTTTATTTT